ATTTCCCACCCGGCTTTACTCTGCTAAGCCATACGCCGAAACAGCTTCTTTATTAATCAATGGTAATAAAACATATTCACAGCGTACAGAGGGGAATTCCACATCACTCTTAGTGGCAATTTCCAGTAAAATTTGAAATGTAAGAGTAACTGACCACATTTAGAAGCCATAAACAATTTGAACGCCCTTGACAGATTATATCTAAATTAATCTCCAAAAAAGTTACAGCCACCTGCAGGAGTACCTCTTTTACTCAAAATCACTCTGGACTGGGGTAACAGCACAGCTGGCAGAGGCACCCACATCACGCCTGACAACATGAGGTCAATCTCTGGGATGAGCTCTGACACATCGTCCTCTGACCGTCACAAGTGTGCCTTGGGGTGTGTGCGTCCTCACCTACACCCACTAAAAATAAATAAAAATATAATAAAGGTTTTAAAAGCAATTCTTTTATAAGCAATTTTTTTCTGTTTTCTAAAATATAGAATCATGCTCCTCTTCATTTTGATGACCGTTTTTCTCATGCTGTAACAAATGAAAAAATTAGGTGTGGGCAGTTGTGAGTTACCAAGAGCAGAAGTTTCATTTCACAAATAAGACAAATTATAGAGGTTAATATTTCACTATTTTATTATAGCTCTTTTTAATGACTTGAATTAAATTTTACTAAATAAGAACTAAATGAATATATTGTCAAGCTTGTTAATAAAGATAAATTTTCCCAAAGCTACAGATAATATTACCAACAAAATACAAACAAAAACCACTTTCATCTTTTTTATAATGGAAGGAGCGGTCACTATTCTCACTAGTTGAACCAAAATTATTTTATAGTTTACCTGCCAGTATAAAATCCCTAGCAAATACTGAGGGAAACAGTCAATAACTCTTCACTGTGAGTATGAATATTATCTGATTAGAAATTCAGAAGCTGTTTCTCCTTATATTTACTTATATTTACAGCCCGAGTACTTTTTACGTAACCAGATTCCGTGTTCATGCCTCACTGTCCGAATACACTGAACAGGCAATGGTCAGGAGTGTCGTGAAGAGGACAGGCGGCAGAAGGCTTGGTTGGTTCATCCTCGGAGTCTGTAAAGGACAGACTGACTGCCTAGGAGAGGATTATTGTTCTTTCCTGCCAGTGACTCAGCGCAATGGGAAACCCCATGCATTCTTCCTCTGACTCTCAAAGATAGTTAGAAAGCAGGGGTCATGTGGCCACCATATCACATGCTGTTAGCTTAGGTTCCGTTTGCTAGAGACATACATACTTAGCTGATCTCATAAGTTTGGCCCTTTGGAATGGCTGCTGCCAGAAGTATTGCTTTTGAAAAAAGATTTACTTATTTATGATGTGTGTGTATGTGCACCGGTGTGCACTCGTGTGTGGCAAGAGATGTAAGAGTATCAGATCTCTCCCTGAACCCAGGGTTTGTGCCAGGCTGGAAGCCAGCACGCTCTAGTGATGCTCCTGTCTCTGCTTCCTCTGGAATCTGGGTTACAGAGGTGTGGGGCTCCTGGCTGTGGATACTCCACAGGTGCTGTGGATATAAACGCTAGCACCCCAAGGATCTACCACACCCAGGGCAAGAAAGTGAAAGCCACAGATACTGCTACCAAATGAATTGTCTATGACCTATGGACCCATTGAAAGTAAGGTTTCATTGGGCCCTTGGTCTTTCCACTCCCTGCCCCTCTACTTCCTCTTGAGTCTTGTGTTTTACGGAATGGATATGAATACAGGGTTACGGTCCAGTCTCCACTACCCTCAGGCTTGGACTGGAAACTGAGAAGGATAGATACAGGGAAGTCATTAGCTAATATGACTACAGACCAGCTACCCACATTCCATCTTGACCTTTACTTGCTGTTGTCTACTTAAAATGTCTGATTGTATGAAGAAAAAGAACGCTATGAGAATTTGTCTTTTGAAATAGGAATACAGAGTTTATGATTCTCAGCAAGTCGTGTGGCTGGCGCCGTAGCTGCCAGCAACAAGGGAATTTCCATTGCAAAAAAACTGGAGTTGTAAAACTGAGGATTCCTGAAAAATTCCTTTTAAAGGATTCTGGCCTTTGGGAAACAGGAAAACCTGGGGAATCAGACCTGGCTTTGAAAAGAAAACTGTTGTTTCTATGCTAACTGATCAGGAGTAATTTTTAAAAAAACTTTGCCATGATTGGGGGGAAAAGCTCAAAAAGAGAAAGAGAAAAAGACATAAATCAGACAATTGATACCAGTCTCTGTTCCTTTGATCCCCCTGGCTACTCTGCTATCAGCACTGACTGGGCCTTTAATTCTCATTCTGATTAATGGTGGGCCCCTGCCTGCATCTTAGACTATATGGCCAATTATATATAAGTTCAGTAAAACTGATGGTCCTTAGATCCAACTACATCTCTTTAGAGCAAGATGAGTCCATGTTGAACTCATTCACTAAAACCAGTGGAGAATGTAACAGGGCCCTGGATTTTGTAGGCTCTGAGACCTCAGCAAGACTGACTCCATGGTGGAAGTAATACCCAGCCTGTAAAACTCAGCATGTAGATAGCATCACTACCAACACTAAAACAAAGGCCTAATCTATCAAAGTCTTAATTTTTAGCATAGCACAAATAAAAAAAATCCGCTTTAGATTATTGGCAAAGAAATTATTTCACACTCAAGTTTGGGAAAATATCACTAATAAGTAAAAGCTGGCTGGGCATTGTGGTGAACACCTATAACCCAGAACTCAGGTGACTGAGACAGGATTGCTGTGAATTTGAGGTCACACTTCAAACCTCTGTCTCAAAAAAAAAAAGAAAAAGGAAAGAAAGAAAAAAGAAGAGGGGGGAAAAGGTCAAAGCTGGGGGATGGGTACCCCACAAAATTAGTCTCTCTCTGTCTCTCAAAGCTTTAGGAAACTCAGAACCTTCTCATTAGAGGCAAGACTGTTTCTTTAAGTGAAAAGGACACAAAGAAAAATAAACCACTCACATGAATTGAGCTAATTTGTTCTGCCTGGCCCGAAGAAAACAGTGTCCTCATTACTAGTAACTGAGTATCTTTTTTGTACTGTCTTATCCCACAGTGAACCGAGGCCACTGACCCAACTCTGGTAAGCACTGTTAGCTAACGCAAACTGCTCTTTAACTTTACATCAGAGCAATAGGTGGCTTTTTACGTTCTGTTTTTCTCTACCTAAAGAAAACACTAGCAGTTTGAAACAGGATCGGGTGCATCAGTGGGTGAGATTGCCACTTGTTCCAAAAGTCCCATGACTTTAGGGGAGGATATTTAGGGGGCGGCTCTCAGCTCTGAAGCATGTGGGTGTCTGGGTGCTGGAGAGCCTGGCCAGTCCTCGCTGCTGCTTCTCTGATGTTTGCCGTCTTGGCGGTAGCTTCTGTCTCTTCTTCCTCATGTTGAGTCTTCTTGGGAAGAGGATAGGAAGAGGGTGTACCAGCAACAGATTTCCCAGCGTACTGCTTCACACAGAGCAGCTTTGAAAGCTGAAAAACTGGCTGCGTGCGCTTCAGCAGCAGGTTTCAGAGTCTAAATTTGCAATGTTTCTGCAATCGTTCTAAGGCAGATTAAGTATGGCTTATGTCAAGTGCGGAAACCATGGACTCGCTATAAAACACTGCATTTAATTTAGGACAGAACAGCCAACCCTGCGCTACTTACAGCAACAGAGAAAGGGAAATTCAGACAAATGACAACCTGCAGACAGTTTAAATCCTTGTGTGAAGCAGCAGCTTCTATTTTCTCCTTTCCGAGAAAGCATTGGGCCAAGGTGTTCAACTGAAAAACAAAACACATTGGGGTTCACATTTCTATCTCTCCTCCTACCTTCCGTGGGAGGTGCCAGGCCTGGCAGCCAGAGAGCGTGATCAAAAGGGAACTTGGGAGGCTGATATGGTGGGATATTTGGCCTTGATTAAATGTTGATTATAGAGGCTATCCTGCAGTAGAGGCTAGTGTACGGAACCCATCAGGAAAGGAAAACTCCACACTCTACAGTTGTAGATGACATAAAACTTCACTTCTGCCACTTATGTCCAGCTTACCTACCTCCCTCCCTCCCTCCCTCCCTCCCTCCCTCCCTCCCTCTCTCTCTAACGGTTTCACTATATAGTATAGGTAGACTGGAACTCCATATATTCCTGCTCCTACCTGCTATGCTTCCTATAGGCTGAAAGCTGGGATTATAGGCATGGGATTATAGCTCAGCATGCCTGGCTTATTTTGCCTCTTTTGATAGATGTTATAATAGAGTTCTGTGTAGGGTCCCTGAAGCTTTCTACACACCTAGAGAAACAACGAGCTCTTTAAAATTGTGCTGGACTATAGATGTAGCTCACACTTGCAAAGTCTTGGGTTGGATACTTAGTACCAAACAGAAATAACAACAAAACCCACAAAAACAACGCACAGTGCCATGAGTCACACTTCATACCCGTTCAGGATACGATGTTTCCTTGGATATATAGTGTAGGGTTCTTGACCAAAAGCTAATGGGGAATCTTAGTAGTCAGGATAAATATTGTATCAACGTGTAAAGAAAAAGCAATTGCAATCACTACAGCCATTGTGCAGTTGGCCTGCCTTGGGATGACGGCAGAATTACTGCAGCTTTGTGTCTCTGTCTTCTTTGACTCAGGGGGGAGATGAGAGAAGATGAGTTGTTCATTCCTTTCTTCTGAGTCAATTCATAAGACTGAAATATCATCGCCCTCTTTCAAAACAAAGCAGTCCAGATGAACTCTGTTATTCCCAACGCGGGCTGTGCCAGCCAAGTTTCCTTTCTAGCATATGCAGTTTCTGTAGTTTACAAACAAGCACGTGCATGCTTATCTCGTACAGTAAGTACACGGCCGAATCGCTAGTATTTCTGAACAACTTCCCAATGTTTCCTGCTCGAGTCAATCAACCGCATGATTAAAATCCAAGACAAGGAAGCATTTATTAATACACTGTAAATGCTAAATTTCACTTTGCCATTTTAATTATAGAATCAACTATATGTCATAAGTAAAATGGAGACGAGGTGAGACTTTCTTCTCTTCACAAGGTAAAGATAACTTGTTTATTCTTTCGTTTCTTATACATACAAACTAAGACCGCAGAATGGGGAACATAAGAAGGACTGAAGATTGGAGTGAATTCTGATTCTAAAGGGCTGTAAAGTATCAATGAGTGGAAACAATTAAAAATGATACAATAAATGGTACAACATTAGTGTGGAAACAACCTAGGTGACCTAGAATATCTCCACATTTTTAGTTAAAAACTAAACACACGTGCACACACACATACATCTATTGGGTCCATTTACTACTGGTCTTATATCCATCTGTTCAGCGTTGACCACTTATTATCATATGGCTCAGCCCCAGGGAAAACTTATTCTCTGATTTTCTCTCCCTCAGCATCCATAGACTCCCCGGAGCTCTTTGTCTGGGGATGCATCCTTGTGAAAATTTCCCCCCATCCGCGTTGGCATATTAACTGCTGTAGTCTTGGGCAGGCGACCACACCGTAGACCTCATGGACCAAGAGTCGCTGTCATATTTAGAAAGTACTGTCTTCGCACAGACATCCTGGTCCACTGGCTCTCACCAGTGGTCTACTTCTTCCATGATATCCCCTGCTTAACTGTAGGGCTGTACTGGAGATTATCAGCTGGGGTTGGGCACCACAGAACCACCTACTCTCTAAACTTTGGCCAATTGTGGATCTCTGCAATAGTCTCCATCTGCTGCAAACAGCGGCTTCTTTGACGAGTGGCAAGAGCTGCACTGTCTATGGTATAAGCAGTATATTTAGATGCAGTTACAAGTCATACTGGCTGAAGAGAACTGCAGCCGCAGGTTCCTCTCCGGGGTCTGTGTCATCTCCAGCCATGGCTAGTCAGCCAGGTCTCTAGCACCAGGCGTGACTCCTGTTTATTAGGTCCAATGAGACAGTTACTGTCCACCCCAAGACATAAGTGCCATCCTGTACCTGTGGGGATATCTAGCTGTACTGCTGTTGTTGTGGTTTACAGCCTTCACATCTGAGTTGGACTTACTGTTTTTCTCTCTTGACAGCTTGCACGGCACCGTCTCATGTGAACCAGTCCTCAGAGAAGATCCCAGATCAGTTCCAGCTTAATTCCTCCAAGTATTGTATTCAAAGGATGTGGTGTCTTCAGCTATAAAGTCCTGAGGCCGCCAAGGGCAATGGCAATAGCCTATATGGTTTGGGAGTCTCTTGAAATCCCTGCCAACAATCTGAAGAGAGGCTTTCAAGAGGCTTTCCATGCCTGGGCCTGGGGTTTTGTTAGATGGTCTATGGCAATGGGGGCAAGGATTATACCCTGTGGCATTACTTCATTTAATATATATAAAATCTATAATATATATTAATACATGTTACATGTAATATAAATATTCATTATATACTAAATATGTTAGTATATTTATACATTTAATATATACTAATTGGCTTTGGTAACATTGGATTCCCATTTAAGTGTTAATACAAAGTTGAATTTATTTAATTTTTAAATTGTATTTATTGGCTGGAGAGATGGCTCAGCGGTTAAGAGCATTGCGCAGGTCCTGAGTTAAATTCCCAGCAACCACATGGTGGCTCACAACCATCTGTAATGAGGTCTGGTGCCCTCTTCTGGCCTGCAGACAAACACGCAGACAGAATATTGCATATATAATAAATAAATATTTTAAAAAAATAAATAAATTGTATTTATTTTTTGTGTATATATGTGTCTCTGTGTGTGTGTGTCTGTGTGTATGCCTGTGTGTGCGCACGTACAGGTGTGGAGGTCAGAGAAGTTTTTCTGGGGTCATTTGGCCGTTTCCACTTTCACCTGGATTCCTGGGATCAAACTTGAGTCAGCGATAGCGAGGGCCTTGCCTCATCTCTCCAGTCCCTACAACGCTGAATTTAAGAAGTACTGAACACCTGAATTATTATAAACATTTAGACTGCAAGACGTCTTAATGAGGAGAAATCATCTTATGATGAGTTTGTATACTTTAACATAATGCATATTTTATAATAAAGAAAAAGTTAATGCCCCTAACATTTCATACAATCACCTTAGAATTATAGTGATTATGGTGTGCGTCTCACACCAAACAGTGAAAATACCATTTTCAGAAATTATTACTTTGAAATAGGAGTTTTTCAAGGAAAGCAATTTAAGATAATTAGGCAGGTTTTTAATTTTTTTGGTTGAGTGCTAAAACACAATGTGTGAGCTATTTAAAGAAGGCTATGGTGCATAGCCATCGCCCTCCTCTGCTTCTGCTCTCCTTCCTCACTGTACTGAAGAAAAGAAAGCCCACAGGCTTCTATTTTTAGACAAGCCGATGCACGAACCGACTTCCAGATAACGATAATGATGACCGTGAGAACAATGACGGCCCATCTTACTGTTAATTTGCGTCTCCTGGAATGGTCTCACGCAGCAACAATCTAGTGAGTTAGATCCAACCATCTCTCCTAAGGTGAAAAAAATCAACACTTTACAGCGTACTCCAGCCACTCGCCCCGCAGCCACACACCCGCAGCCACACCTCAGGGAGAAACAGAGCTGGGTCTCGCCTTTGCGCAGCTGACCTTTAGCTTGGGCTTTGCTCTTCTAAATAACCATTTAAACACGTGACGTGAAGCTTGAAGGAACGCGGGATTTTTTTTTACTGTGCCTGGGGTGGTACTTAGGAACACTCACGTGCTAGGCACTCTCGCCATTGCATTACGCCACCTACCCTAAATAGTGAACATTTTCTCACATACGCCCCATGGTTCAAGAAGTTGATATACTTTTATTTCACTGAAAAATTAGAAGATATGACAAAACTTTTCTAATCTTCCCAAGAAAATTATTTTTTTTTTAAATATTTGTTTATTTATTATGTATACAATATTCTGTCTGTGTATGTCTGTATGCCAGAAGAGGGCACCAGACCACATTACAGATGGTTGTGAGCCACCATGTGGTTGCCGGAAATTGAACTCAGGACCTTTGGAAGAACAGGCAATGCTCTTAACCACTGAGCCATCTCTCCAGCCCAAGAAAATTATTTTTTAAAATTTTGTGGAGTGTTGTGTGTGTGGTGGGGTGTGTGTATTTGTGAGTCCAGGAACCCACAGAGTCCAAAAGAGGAGATCAGGTGCCCTGGAGTTGGAACTATAGATGGTTGCGGGCCCCTTGATATGAATGCTAGGAGCCAAACTCTGGTCCTTTCCAAGAGTAATATATGCTCCTAACTATGGAGTCCACCCACAAAGAAATTCTTATTTATGCTGCTGCTGCTGATGTGTTGTGTGTGTGTGTGTGTGTGTGCATGCACACATTCGTGCATACACATGCACGGAGGTCAGGGGACAACCTTGGGAGTTTACTTGATGTATGCTAAAGATTGGGCTTGGGCTGCCAGGCTTGCGTGTCAAGCACTTCTTCCAATGAGCAATCTCATACGCCCCTGACAAGCAAATTCTGCTGCTCTACGTCATAGCATGGGTTAACAGGAGCTCTGCCCCTTTCTCACTGTGAGTTTTGGCAGGACTCCCTTCTCTGCTTCACAGGAGCAATAGGATTTAGCTTCCTACAAGGCTTTGCTATTAAGATGGGATTCAATAACCCGTATCAGACAGTTGGGAAGACATGCACATTCTAAGTGCTCAGATCTGGTGAATTAACACCATTGTCTGGGGTTCTTTTATCCCCACCTCATTAAAACAAGAATTACTTTGGCCTCACGTCAGCTGCTTCCTCCCCATCTCTTTCTTTCTCTCCCTTCTTGCCCTCTTAAATGTCAGGAACTTGCAGTGCCAAGTTCAATGAGTGTGTGTCTTCTTAGTTCTCTTATCAGTCAGAGGGGTGGGACGCAGCTTCACGACACAGTAAACACTGTATGTGTGGGGCAAGCTGAGTTCAATGCCCAGCACTGAACAAAGACAAAGCAAGGCAGTGTACAGTGGTCATTTGGCTGACCATGATTAGTTGAAATACTCTCTCTTGACCTCCCAGACTCCATTTGTTTATGATTGGCAGGTACCTCGTGGGTCATTTGCCACCTTCATTTCCTTTTCTTGGGGCCTACAGTTGGCATCTGTCAGGTATGGGTACAAGATTCTATTTTGCTCATTCAACCTACTTTTCAAAAATTATCTAATTTAATTGTACAAATACCAACTTACACACCCCCCCATTTTTTTTTAACCTTTCTTTTTTTCCTGTTTTTCAAGACAGGGTTACTGTGTGTAATGGGCACTGGCTATCCTGGAAACTGTTTTGTAGACCAGGCTGGCCTTGAACTCTCAGAGATCTGTCTGCCTCTGTTTTCTGAGGTATTAAAGGCCTGCACACCACACCTGACCCAACTCTACTCTTATGGTTCAAATTTGCATTTCCTTGAAAGCCCCATTTATTATCACATTCGGTTTTCCTCCCAAGTTTTGAAAGAACGTTCATGTTCAGAAGAGACCAAATGTAAAACTGTGAGCGGGTCACCTTTGTTTCAGCTGGGCGTGGGGACTATCACAAGCTTTTGTTGTTGTTATGTCAGTGGGGTGGAACCCCACTTCTTCTTGAGTTAGGGTTTCACTGTGTAGCCCTGGCTGTCCTGGAACTCACTCTGTAGACCAGGCTGGCCTTGAACTCACAGAGATCTGCCTGTGTCTGCCCCCCAAATGCTGGGATTAAAGGCATGTGCCAACAAGGTCCAGCAGGATTATCACAGGTTTCATCTGTATTCCATCTCCAGTTCTGTTCTCTCATTAACAGTGCTAAAATTGTATGTCACAATCTTACACAACTGTGTGTGAGGTGCTGAGGATTCAAGGTCAGATCTTATTTTTTTTTATTATTTTTATTTAAGTCCAGGTCTTTACATATGCTAAAGAAGCAAGCGCTTGTGAATTCCACTGCCAGCTATAAAGTCTAAGATTTAAAAATAAACCAAACCAAAAGGATCAGTAAATATTTGTAAACACTCATATGGAAAATAAAAACCTCATGAGTCTTTGGTGTTTTCAAAATAACAAGGAAAATTAAAAACAGTCATGCACTTAAGTTGTTCACTGGGTCAGACTTCTTTCCATAGAAAATGCTGAGGTTCTTTGGAAGATCTTAAGAGGGGCTCTGAACTGGACCTTGGCTGTACAGCACAGAAGCGTTAAGCAAGTACGAGGTGCATCACTGAAGATCTAGAACACTGTAAGATGATGCTCTCTGGATGGGAATGATTAAGCCTGGGACTGTAGTTAATTTTTCATTGCTTTCTTTTTTATCCTTTGTACGGGTTCTATTTCTGGCATCTCCTCTGCTGACCGCTGGAGATGGCTTACGTTTCCTGCAGGCTGTCTTGTCTGCTCTCCTGTCACACTGTGTTTACTCTGCTAAACTCTAGCTCCTTACTCCACTTTCCACAGACACCAGGAAACCCTTGCACTCTCTCTTCTTCATTCTCCGTCTTGATCATTTTTAGTGGCTCAAGTCCCCTGTCTTATAGTCTCTGCCATGCCGGGGAACAGAAACTGCAGTAATGATTTACCATGCACCTTACTATCTATGTCTCCTATGACCTGTGTTAAAACTGTAATAAAGCCTCCCATAGAGTCAGTTCCTCTGTTCACACTACAGTCTGACTAAACACAGTTCTTAACACAATTTTTAAAATGTTAATTCATTAAAAAACCTGATTAGTTTACTATTCTTGCTTTACTGTTCCCACGGTTCGCCCTGTTTTTTCTCTCTGGGTTCTATTTTGGCAGAATGCAGCAGTTGCCCGAAGGAAGAGATGAGGGGCATACGTAACTAATGTATGTCTATTACTCTAGTGTTAGGTGCTTTCAAAGAGAAATTTATCCATCTAATTTGAGCCAGCAGTACCAGTTTGAGGTCTGGTAGAAGGAACACTGTTGTGTTTGTCTTCAGAAACAGGGAACTATCACCTTAGACCGCAGACATCGTAATCAGAGGGGTTTTAACCTAAGCAAACATGGAAATCCTGCCAGCAAGTTTTCTCTGTTCTTTTTTATGTAGAGAAACAATAGAGGGCTGGTTAATAAGCTTTCTCATTGGGATTGCCAGCCCACAAATACTGACACATTTTATAATTAATTTGTTATTAATTATAAAAGTTTGGCCTTAACTTAGGCTTTTTTCTTACTAGCTTATAACTTAATTAACCTAACTTAACTTAATTAATCATAACTTAATTGACCTCCAAGTTCTTTTTTTTTCTTTT